TTCTTCTTCTCTCTCTCTCTCTCTCTCTCTCTCTCTCTCTCTCTCTCTTCTTTTCGCCATCAGTCCACTCGTTGCAGTTTGCAAGCCTGGCGTCCGTCTCCCCCCATCCCTCACGTCCCGGTGCCTCTTTCTGGTGAACGCAAAGAAACTTTGATTATAACCCGGCAGCTACTTTCCCGCGGTAAAAGTCTGGTCTGGGTACCTTAATTAATTTACGTTAAGAGACTTCGCGGAAAGGCAGGTGTACCGTACGATTAAATGGCTTAGAGCGCCGCTAATGGGTAGTAAGCCGGTGCACTCGGCGAATACCGGACGATACCGGGAGAAGTAATAACGTGGATGGAGAGCGTTCATGTTTATTTCATACGCAGCCAATCGCGCGTGCTTTAACTCTCTTCCGGAACCGATTCGCCTCCGACGTCGCCTGTAAATCGCGACTTCTATGCCTTCGTCCGCTAATGGTGTATCGAAATATTTTCCAATATGGCGACAAATTGCGCGATTATTGATCCCGCCTGCGACACCACGTAAACCTTGCTCTTCAATTAAAAGTATCAGAACATCGGTAATAAAAAACAAAAATCATTGATACTCGCGTACGCAATTAAATTATTGGATTCGGTGTCCGTAAGATCTCACGAACAGCTGTGGCAATGGCTTTCGTGCTAAAGGAATGGCGTGTACGGCGATCTCGAACACACGATTTATATCGGGTATCGGACATCTTGTACGGTTTAGCTACTAAAAGGATAGTTCAAAGCACTCGGAAGTCCAAAGCACTGGAAATCAATAATTGATAAGAGGAACGATTCTTCTTGTCTAGCGAGTGTGGACAGCAATTCCCGCTCTATCGAGGGTATAGATTTACTGTTCGTTAAACCTCAGCCTCCTCAGCGCCAGGCGAAGCTCGGAAGCGGCAGTGGATTCTGCCGAGTCTCGTAATAGCAGGAGGATCCACTCCGTAACAGAAGCGCATACGATGTAATACTCTAATGTGTGATTTGTGAAACAATACACAGACACTCGCATGTCACAACGTTTCGGGAGATAATTAGCGAGCGTAAGCAGCGGGCAAATCGAAGGCAATTACAACGCTATAAATGGTAAACGTGTGTAAATAAAATTAAGATAATCGAAGCTCCATAATTTGGGATTTGGGAATCCGCGCAATTAACGAGCGGCGTGTCGGCGCCGATATAAATTTCGTGCCGTACATCCATCGGCCATCGGTTCCATAAAACGTCCGTTAAACTGACAGGCAACGGCCGCGCGCGCGCGCGCTTTTATCGGCGAAATTCGTAAATGGGGTTACTACGCGGACGCGCGTTGATGAAACAACCAATTATCTTCCTCGATGCACCCCCCGAGACAATCGAGTTTACGCGGCCGATCATATTTTCGTTCTGTTCTGCGGGGACGTAAGCTTTTTAACGGATTTGTCAATCGCATTCATGTAAAATCATCCGGTCGACGGTATAAATCTCGCTATTGTGCGAGCTCATCAGCGGAATGCATCTCGTTCGCATTAGTCGGCGGCCGCGGCCCTTTCAACCGTCCGCTAACCTGCAGCATTGTTTTTACTTCTGCTTTTAATTAGCCGCTCGCGAGCGTTCAAGTGCCTCAATGGTTTTAGCCAACTTCCCCGTCGCCGGAATCCGTATAAATCCCCTTTATACGTAACATAATGTTAACGGATCAGCGTAGCGCATAGCGCTCGCTGAATAATGCGACTCGACAAAACGCGAATCTTTCTTCGTTAATATCAATCAGAAGTCAACGCACAATGGCAACAATGGCAACAAACCGGAGTTTTTGCGGATGTTGAAAAAAAATTACCCGTCAAAAATGTCAATTTTTTTTCACGCATCGATAAACGATTAAACAATATCGTTGCGTTTTGACAGCGGTAAATTTTTTTTCGCTTAACGGCCACATCTGCCGCGCGTAACGAGATTAAACGCGGTTAAACAAAAGTCCAAGTTAAATCGGCCACGGTGTGGTATTAAGAGAATACGGTGAAAGCACATTTGCTATGTATCACTTTAAATCTCACTTCGATCACCGGGGCGGTGTAAGTTCGCCGCTCGCGCAGTTCCCCCGCATAGCGGCACAATTGGGAGCGCCGTTGGGAAACTTGAAACTCGTAACAGTTTTACTTTTCGTGGCTATACGCGGATACGTATAAAGGGAATGAGTAAAAGCGCTGCGACACACAGAGGATCGAAGTCTAGCGCTCGGCTTGATTTATGGCGGGCCGAGACTGGATCTACCAACCAACTAACCGGCACCTTCCAACGCATGCAATTGCATAAAGTCGCTACTAGATAGCGCAAAAGGTAATGGAAGAAAGCGAGGTCTGTGGGGCGAGCTTAAATTCTCGCCTGATTTATCATGACGAAGAAACTCGCGATCGTCGTCGACGAGCGACCACCGCGCGTTCGTTAATTCCGTTAATCGCGGAACGGTTAAGAATATCAGCTCGTCAATCGTGTACCCACGCGAGTTCGAGCGAGAAAAAATGCCGGCCGAACTTGGGGGGGTAACTTTAATCGATCATAATGAATGCTTGTTCGCAGACCCTCGTAGCCCGGAGGCACGCCGCCCGCATTCAGAAACTTCAGAGGCTCTTCTGTCGTTAACGGAGTTTCGCCTTAACGACTGGCCGCTTCGATAAATTTCAATCCGCCCCCTCGGTCGCCTAGCCGTTCCTACACCTTCTCACTCCCCCTTTCCTCCCCCCCCCCTACGGCGTCGGCCCTATCCATTCGCACACGCGCGCGCGCGCGCGCGCGTTCCAAGACCCTACGACGACCCTGGGATGCGCTGTGCAAATATGACCCAAGTTGACCCCGGGACGAAGAACTCTGGCAGAAAGCAAGAACGCTCTCGCGCGCGCGGCCCCCGTCCTAAGCACTCCCCCGGACGCAAGCACAGCCGCCGAGTTTGTCTTTGGTATTAACGGGTTTTGGTATAGAGGCTGCGAGAGCGTGTGCGCGCGCGAGGGCGTACAGCTTTAGTACCATAAATTCCCGGGTACGCGGACTCGCCGCCGCCGCCGCCCGTTAATATCGCCCGCGGGAAAGCGGTTTACGGGAACCACCGTCTAAACCTGCCCACCCCTTTGTTGTATTTACTCCGTATTTACTCCTTTTTCCGGATCGGCCCGGAAGATATCGCGCGCGGGCGCGCGTGTTGCCGGCTAGGTAGGTGGATCCCGGGAAAATAGTATTAAATCTCGATGGCGATGGGGCTTCGTCGTCCCTGTCTCTACCCTTCGCCTACCCTTATTTTATCGTGCTTTTCGTGGCACTATGACCGGGGGTGGCCGGGCGCGGGTGACCCCCGAGCGGACAAGCACGGTGATCGATCTATTGTCGACGCAGGGTGAATTAGTATCCTCGATCTCGCGTCCTCGAACTCGTATCTTACTTCTTGATGTTGACGTGTAAGCGATGGAATACAACGTCGAGACAATAATGAGAAGATATCGAGAATATTACGAGATACCTCGTCAAAAAGTATTGGACGTTTGCGTTAAAAGAAATGCGTTTAGTCTCAAGAATCGAATAAATAATCTTCAAAATAATTCCAGAAAGTATTAAAATAAAGCACTGAGAGATTTTATTATAAAATTTTATTTATGTCAGCTTATTTATTTTAGCTTTTATTATTATTATTATTATTTTGTATTAATTTTACTTTATATTAGCTTTTATTATTTTTTCAGAATATATATTGGGATATTTTTCTATTTCATTAAATAATCGTATTATGATATTATCTCTCTCTCTCTTTCTCTCTGGAGAGTCGCCATTTTTTTTGTATTTCTTTCAAGCGCAACCTGTGGAAGCTTGCCAGTTATCTCGGTTATGTGTCACTAACGTTAGTTATGTCAACCAGTAGTTACGTCCGGCTCTGGTCAGACCATTTCGCCAGCGCCTTTAAAGCGCGAACGGCGCGGATTACTGTCGGCTAGGGCTGTAAATTGAAAGGAAAATCGCTTCTCGGGAGAGAACTCGCGAGAACTCCGCGCGACTTTCACAATGCTCGAGGAGAGAGAAATAAATTCCACGAGGAATGTTTCCCGTTAAGCTTCCGGCGGAGTAATATCGACGCTATTTATCGTCACCTTCTCGTATAATTGCCGCTTGTAAATTCGCAATACAACCAGAAACGTAATAATTTTACCGATTTTATATTTGCCTCTGGTTTTAATTAACAGTCAGCCACTCTTCGCTGTATCCCGCAGAAGCCTCTTTGCAGCAAGTCGGGAAATACAGCGCTCGCGCCGCGCTTATAAATACATTTTAAACCGGAAATTGAAAGGAAAAGCGCAGTGCGCTATGTAACGGGTGAGGTGTACCGGCTACCGTGGTACTGGTGGAAAATTTCCTGATACTGTCGGAAGGACAGAGAGGAATAGCCACCCTTTGATAGTTACGGGAGGAGCGGTTATCAAAATGCCCGAAATACAACGTCGCTTGCCGTTGGGATAAATCGGGAGATTATTCCTCTGTTTTACCGTACAATAAATCAGAATCAGATTTCCGACGTTCCACTAGTTCCAATCCAAACGTTACAATAGCGACATTCAAACGTCCGGCACAAAAGGGAACGTCGAAGAGCGTCACCGAAATGCGCGGATGCGCGACGGGGATGTTCGTTAAGGTAACGCAAAACTGCAAAAATAGCGCAAACGCTCGGTAACGGAGGAAAAATTGCTACTTGGTAATGGTTCAAGAGCACTTGTTGAACTATTGGAAACCATCGTGACCTTCCACTCGAGGAAAACCAGAAAAGGGCTGACCACCCTTCACGGTTGCGAGCGATTCGAGTAGCGAAACTCTTCAAAAATAGGTCGCTTTTAAACGCGAAAATAACCCCTCCTCGATGGAATCGATGTACTCCCGGCATCGCAAGTTTACGTCAGAGTGTTTATCCACCCGCTGCCGGGCGAGAGACGAGAAGATTCAATTACCTCCTCGCAACAAATTGCAAAATGGTATAGCGTAAATTGAAGCAGGAGCAACGTGCCGGGCATTAAAGTTGGCCGCTCGCGATTTTGAAAAGCTTGATGCAAAACCATATTTCACTGAGCCGACGAACGATAAAAGAGTAAATTTTTTTTTCAGCGATATTCAATTATGAAAATTTGATAACTATCGATTGGGAAAAAGCAGAGCGATTGTAAAAATCTCATGTAAAAGCCGGGCGGCTGTAGAAAATATCTTCGATTATAAAATCGGTTTTCCCATCTTGCTTTATAAAATTTGCTTTGTACGTACAACTTTGTCGTGCGTAATTGTTTGTATAATCCCTCGTAAAAATTTCATTAATTGTACACAACTGGAATCCAGCGGGAAATTGCTGCGATGCCGAAAGGTACAGGCCAACGTTAAAAAATTATATTTTTTTCATTAAATTCGCGAAAACATTTCCAATTTTTCTCTCCGATAAGTGAAGACTCCGGCTTTCACCGACGAAAGGATTAATATTTTTCGACACAATAGCTCGAAGTATATTCTACATAACAGGGCGGAATTGCGTTCCCGAAGCGGGAGGAGGGGAGGGGGGGGGCATGTGCTCGCTATTCATCGCCGCGGGGCAACGTGGGTTGCGGGAATAATAAAGATTTCGCGAATTTGATGTTTCAATTTGTCGGGAACTCGCGACGGGGAGGGCGAGCGATGGAAGGGGAGGATGTGTGTGTGTGTGTGTGTGTGTGCGCGCGCGCGCGCACGATCTCATCTTCGTTGTTAAGCGGAGCGATGTAGCGACGACGGCGCGTCGAGCAGGCCGAGCATAAATTGCGGGGAGACGAGAACTGGGGGGGGGGGGAGGAGAGAAAAGGGGACAGAAGAGGGCTTAATATCGCTCGTGTGGAAGCCGTTTACGGAAGCGCGGAGGGCGGCGTTCTCCGCTACGTTCTCTTCTCTATCGTTGCCATAGGCTTCCCATATTCGTGCGCTGTTTAGTGTCGCTTACAAGGCGCACTTTCCAGCACGTCGACGAGGCGGCGGTTCTGAAACGCAACGTTGAAAATCGAGAGACAAGTATAAACGCGCGTCGAAAGCGCGGCGTGGGAAGAGGGGTGGAGCCGCCGACGAAGCGTAAAGAAACTTTAGCGTCACTCGTCGTCGTCGCCGACGACTTTACGTGAACGCGCGCCGTGTTATTAATCGTTAGCTCGGAAACGGCACGAATATCGCGCACGAATTCTGCGTCGTGGGTCTCTGTCGTGTATTAAACACGCGACGTCGTATCAACTGTCGGGACTGCCGAAAAAGCGTATAAAATAAATCCTCATATCCGGTAGTAAAACGTTAAAGCGCGCGGGCGCGCATTCTTCTCCGTTCTCGCGTCCGATAAAAGTCATTTGATAAAAGTCATTTCGTTATCTCGTAATTAAATCGCATATAGAACTGCGCGGAAGCGCGTTGCTTATTTATAACAATTATTTATAACGGCGATGCCGTACATCGCATGCCGATCGGTCGCGCCGCATGTCATATGGCGAAGGACGATTAAATCGTCGAAATTGCTCGTCTAGCGAGCATGCGTGGTTAAAGATTAAATGTGGTTGCAGATCGGATGCTTTTAACGCAAATCGGTCCCGAATAGCAGGGTCAAAAATAATTCACGTCGGCGCGAGAGGAGCGAGGGGTGTGTGTGTGTGTGTGTGTGTGTGTGTGTGTGTGTGTGTGTGTGTGTGTGTGTGTGTGTGTGTGTGTGTGTGTCG